GTACTATCCTCACGTCCACATTGCACCTCTGGGCCCAAGGACACCATGGGACACCACGATAGAGTTCAAGCCTGACCTTTACCTTCAGTGCACCTTAGACAAGGGCCGTCCTTCTCTGCTCAAGTCTCTTTATCCACAGTCCAGGGTGGGGCTGGGAGGAGTTGTGTGGAATGCTGACCCAGCTTAAGTGTGGGTTAAAGCTCCTTCCCTAGAGAGGATGGACATTTTAGCCTCCCCCGTGCCTCCCCTTAACACATCCTAGTGGAGAGAAGGCGCAGACAGACAAGTCTTTGCTTAGGTTTACAGAGTGTATTTGGGTGATGCTCTTCCCCACCTGCACGGTAATGAAAATCACAGTAGCAGTCCTCTTCAAGTGATGCAGACATTGGGGAACCTACAGTGTCTTTTGATTGTGCTGGGTCTCCTTGAGTAGACCAATGTTTCCCTCTGAGGGGAGAGTTGAGAATTCGGGTGGGTTCCCTGGGTGAGTGGCACACGCCACTCGAGGACAGTGGCGAGGGCAGTGGCGGGGGTGACCCAGGACTGAGACAGAGTGGAGTTGATGGGAGTGGGAGCAGTGCCGGAGCTTACTGTCTGGGGAAGGGGTGCCATCCCAGAAGGCCACGCTGACCTGCTTCTCAGTGTTGGGAGATTGGGCATTCGGGTCCCTTCTTGTCTTCTGTGTCTTGGGTCGCCCTGTGGGACTTTTGGCCAGAGCCAGGCTCTTTTCTACATGTTCTTTTCTGGTGCTGGCCACAGTCTCAGCTTTAGAGAACATGGATTCCTTGTGGTCTTTGCCTTTTGTCTTGGGGTTAATCCAGTGCAGAAAGGATTTCATCTTATTTCTCAAGCCAGATTCCGGGAGGCCAGGCCTCTTGTGAGTATGGACTGGCATCACCTGCCCCTGCAAAACGTGACCTTGCAAAGTTTGGCCCTGCAGTGGCTTACCCTGAATGAGTTGGCCCAGGAAATGCTGGCTCTGGGACGCCTGGGGCCCCACAGGCTGTGCACGTTCAGGAGTCCCTGCTGGATTGAGGAAGATGTTGAGCTTGGTTTGACTGTCTTGCGGGTCATTCTTCTCAGAATCCTGCCCCCCAGGGACTCCTGGAGTCAGCTCTGGGGGCTTAAGCTGAGGGCGACGTTCGGGACTGTGTGGACAGGGAGCTTCAAGGTGAAAGCTATGGCTCCATCGCCAGGGGTTGCGGGGTGTCCTGTGCAGAAGCATCCCTTCTGGCCTCTGGGCTTCGGCAGGGTGGCCATTTTCTCTTGTTGAGGAGAACGCAAACCCTGCATCCCCTTCTCCATGGTCCCCTGCCGATTTGGGTTTCCCCGGGTCCTCTCTCTTTCCTGCGAGCGTGGGGACTTGGGCTGAGTCATTGCTCTTGCCAGGGCTTTGGGGCTCAGGGCTCCAGGGCTCCACCAGGCTGGGGAGGTTCACACTGGCCTCCAGCTGAACACAAAGCACCTGGGCCTCTGTCACGTCCCCACTGGGCTGTGAGATCTTGGAGGCCCCATGGGCAGAACCATGGTGTACTTCTCTGGAACTAGGGTGCTTCTGGCTCTTCTGCACTGCCTTTAACTCACTGGCCAGCTGTTGTTTAAGATGGAGCCATTCTGGATCTGGGATATGAGGCGTGTCTGCTGTGATGGGGAGTTTCTGGAGCAGTGTTTTTCCTGGGTTGATTACACTCCCAAGAGACTTCTGTGTGGAAATGTTCTCTGGGATTGCTAGGGTTTGTTCCCTGGATGCCTTTGCTCTTACGGGAATTCCCAGTTGTGTCTCTAGGATCTTCTTTCTCAAGTGGAAATTTAGTTTGGCCAAGATGGGTTTTTTGAGTGAGTAACGGCTCGCAGGCTCCGTCTGGCTTTCCAGAGGCGCTGTCTCGATCATTTCTTCCACCTGCACTTCAGCCTGGAATTCATCTGCAGAGTCTGCACAAGTCTCATTGGCGTCTTGAAAGCGTGCCGCAGGACTTCGACACTGCTCTGCATGTGACGTCACCTGGGTCAGAGGTTCCATGAGGAATTGGAGTGGCCCAGGCACCTTGTCTGTGATTAGAGCTTGGGTAGTGATTGCCGGGGCCATGGCCCTGGAGAGAGCCACATAATAGAGAGCAGGCAGCCCTGACAAGAAGGCCAGATACTTGTGCCGTAAAGT